GTTGCCGTGTGTGATGTCAGTTGGTACAGTGTGACGTCACTTGGAGTATGTGATGTCAGTTGGTACAGTGTGAACGTCACTTGTGTGTGTGACGTCAGTTGGCGTGTGTGACGTCAGTTGGCGTGTGTGACGTCAGTTGGCGTGTGTGACGTCAGTTGGTGTGTGTGATGTCAGTTGGTGTGTGTGACGTCAGTTGGTGTGTGTGATGTCAGTTGTTGTGTGTGACGTCAGTTGGTGTGTGAGACGTCAGTTGGTACAGTGTGACGTCAGTAGGTACAGTGTGACGTCAGTTGGTGTGTGTGACGTCAGTTGGTGTGTGTGACGTCAGTTGGTGTGTGTGATGTCAGTTGGTACAGTGTGACGTCACTTGGTGTGTCTGTCGTCACTTGGTGTGTCTGACGTCAGTTGGTGTATCTGGCGTCAGTTGGTGTGTCTGGCGTCAGTTGGTGTGTGTGACGTCAGTTGGTGTGTGTGACGTCAGTTGGTGTGTGTGAAGTCAGTTGGTATGTGTGTGTTTGACGTCAGTTAGTGTGTGTGTGTGATGCTAGTGTGTGTGACGTCAGTTGGTGTGTGACGTCAGTTGGTGTGTGTGTGACGTCAGTTAGTGTGTGTGTGACGTCAGTTGGTGTGTGTGACGTCACTTGTGTGTGTGACGTCAGTTGGCGTGTGTGATGTCAGTTGGTACAGTGTGACGTCACTTGGAGTGTGTGATGTCAGTTGGTACAGTGTGACGTCACTTGTGTGTGTGATGTCAGTTGGCGTGTGTGACGTCAGTTGGCGTGTGTGACGTCAGTTGGTGTGTGTGATGTCAGTTGGTGTGTGTGACGTCAGTTGGTGTGTGTGACGTCAGTTGGTGTGTGTGACGTCAGTTGGTGTGTGTGATGTCAGTTGTTGTGTGTGACGTCAGTTGGTATGTGTGAGACGTCAGTTGGTACAGTGTGAGGTCAGTTGGTACAGTGTGACGTCAGTTGGTGTGTGTGACGTCAGTTGGTGTGTGTGACGTCAGTTGGTGTGTGTGATGTCAGTTGGTACAGTGTGACGTCACTTGGTGTGTCTGACGTCACTTGGTGTGTCTGGCGTCAGTTGGTGTGTGTGACGTCAGTTGGTGTGTGTGACGTCAGTTGGTGTGTGTGACGTCAGTTGGTGTGTGTGACGTCAGTTGGTATGTGTGTGTGTGACGTCAGTTAGTGTGTGTGACGTCAGTTGGTGTGTGTAACGTCAGTTGGTGTGTGTGACGTCAGTTGGTGTGTGTGTGACGTCAGTTAGTGTGTGTGTGACGTCAGTTGGTGTGTGTGACGTCAGTTTGTGTGTGTCTGACGTCACTTGTGTGTGTGACGTCACTTGGCGTGTGTGATGTCAGTTGGTACAGTGTGACGTCACTTGGAGTGTGTGATGTCAGTTGGTACAGTGTGACGTCACTTGTGTGTGTGACGTCAGTTGGCGTGTGTGACGTCAGTTGGTGTGTGTGATGTCAGTTGGTGTGTGTGACGTCAGTTGGTGTGTGGTCAGTTGGTGTCTGTCACGTCAGTTGGTGTGTGTGACATCAGTTGGTGTGTGTGATGTCAGTTGTTGTTTGTGACGTCAGTTGGTATGTGTGTGACGTCAGTTGGTACAGTGTGACGTCAGTTGGTACAGTGTGATGTTAGTTGGTGTGTGTGATGTCAGTTGGTGTGTGTGACGTCAGTTGGTGTGTGTGATGTCAGTTGGTACAATGTGACGTCACTTGGTGTGTCTGACGTCACTTGGTGTGTCTGGCGTCAGTTGGTGTGTCTGACGTCAGTTGGTGTGTGTGTGTGTGTGTCAGTTACGTGTGTGTGACGTCAGCTAGTGTGTGTGACGTCAGTTGGTGTGTGAGTCAGTTGTGTGTGTGACGTCACTTGTGTGTGTGACGTCAGTTGGCGTGTGTGATGTCTTGGTACAGTGTGACGTCACTTGGAGTGTGTGATGTCAGTTGGTACAGTGTGACGTCACTTGTGTGTGTGACGTCAGGTGTGTGTGACGTGTGTGTGTGTGTGACGTCAGCTAGTCAGTTGGTGTGTGACGTCAGTTGGTGTGTGTGACGTCACTTGTGTGTGTGACGTCAGTTGGCGTGTGTGATGTCAGTTGGTACAGTGACGTCAGTGTGTGGCGTCAGTTGGTGTGTGTGATGTCAGTTGGTGTGTGTGACGTCAGTGGGTGTGTGGTCAGTTGGTGTGTGTGACGTCACTGGTGGTGTGAGTCAGTTGGTATGTGTGAGACGTCAGTTGGTACAGTGTGACGTCAGTTGGTGTGTGTGACGTCAGTTGGTGTGTGTGTGACGTCAGTTGGTGTGTGTGATGTCAGTTGGTACAGTGTGACGTCACTTGGTGTGTCTGGCGTCAGTTGGTGTGTCTGGCGTCAGTTGGTGTGTGTGACGTCAGTTGGTGTGTGTGACGTCAGTTGGTATGTGTGTGTGTGACGTCAGTTAGTGTGTGTGTGACGTCAGCTAGTGTGTTTGACGTCAGTTTGGTGTGTGTGTGACTTTACTTGTGTGTGTGACGTCAGTTGGCGTGTGTGATGTCAGTTGGTACAGTGTGACGTCACTTGGAGTGTGTGATGTCAGTTAGTGTGTGTGTGACGTCAGTTGGTGTGTGTGACGTCAGTTGGTGTGTGTGACGTCAGTTGGTGTGTGTGACGTCAGTTGGTATGTGTGTGTGTGACGTCAGTTAGTGTGTGTGTGTGACGTCAGCTAGTGTGTGAACGTCAGTTGGGTGTGACGTCAGTTGGTGTGTGTGACGTCAGTTGGTGTGTGTGTGACGTCAGTTAGTGTGTGTGTGATGTCAGTTAGTGTGTGTGTGACGTCAGTTGGTGTGTGTGACGTCAGTTGGTCTGTCACGTCAGCTTGCCCATCTTCATGAGTGATACTATTTAGGCCAAATGTAACATGCAAATGTGTCTTAGATAGATACATAAACTATAATATTGTCTGTAGTTTCCCCTGACTTTCACCTCTCAAAAGGCATCGTACCCAGGAACAATCTTCCTGAAAATATGAGACAAGGTTCAAATCCAGGAGGCGGGTGTTGTAGGTCAGTGTCGGTGACGTCAAGAGTTTTTGCTGAATTTGCTGGTTGTAGTTTGTCGGAGAATGCGATAGTAAAATAATCTGTTCTGGTTCAATCCAAATATCAAAAAACTGAAGCCGGAGCAAGAGGAATGTTTAGTAAATGTCATTGAAGCAAAGATGTTGTAGCTCTACTCCCCACGGGCTCCGTTAGTGGCAAAGGAGATGGCTAAAGCTAGGCTACATGCTAAATGCCTTAATCACTTGGGCTCATTTTCATACGTCACAGTAAACTCAGATCCAATCGTTTCAATCTGCAAAAGGAGTTAACCCCTCCCACCTGTTAACGGAGTCAATGGAGCAAATCCAGACCTTAGTATGAAATGAAACGAGTAAGATGGTGTGGTCAGACCAGGCTCGCCCGGACGCCCATTTTGTGGGAAAGTGGCTACCTGGGTGTTTCTTGATGATAGTGTTAACGAACGTTAAGTGAAATCGTCTACAAACCAACAGAAGCTTTAGAAATGAATTTATAGAGACTATAATTCAGATCGAACCATAACTGTTCCCATGGCAACCCTTCTCACAATTCTGTTATCTGTCTCCTTTATGTCATCTCTTTCTTCCAGCGCACATTTATTGGTAATAATAACATCTGTCCATGGCTTTAGATCCACCCACACTTTCTCTGGAGGACAGCTTCAGGTGGAGACGTATGTTAAACAAATGTAAATCTCTGTTAATCTGATCTAATCTACTCTAACTATTCAAACACAAGGGATTAGAAAAGGATTAACACCAGTGAAGCAGATTATCAGATGAAGTCCTCATCAAGTTAATCACACACCAAAAACAATGTTAAAATGAAAGGTAAAAATTGTGGATTGAGTGGATTTTGTCCTAATTTGACTACATTCTGAAAGTCTTAAAACATAGTTTGCCAATGGGACAAAAAAACATTTAGTCTGATTTCTTTATTTTCTCAGACATTTCTAGTATATCTTTAAAACAAGATCATTTTGCTCATTGTTCCGCTGGAATAGCCAAATTTGAGAGTTTTTTAAACCCATTTTTATTCACTTTCTGACTGTTTACCTCAAAGAATTAAAAAGAAGTAAGTTAGGAAAGAGTACTCCATCCATTTTCTTCCCCTTAATCCATTTCTGGGTTGGGGGGTGGCAGCCCCTCACTGATCCTCCTGCAGGTACTGAGTCCACAGGAACTGAGATCTTTTAGTGGGGGCTTCAGGCAAAGTGGGGTTAAGGACACAAGGACAAAACAACAGCAGTCATCAGTGGGGGTTGTGAAGTAGGTCTCATGGTGGCCTCAAACCCACAACCTTCAAAGGTCAATGCTCTACCAACTGAGCTACTGTCGCTCCCTGTGAAAGAAAACTGTGATCGCTAAATCTTCAGCTTTGGTTGACCTCAAACTGATCTCCATTTGTACTTTGGACCTGGTTTAGTCCTGGTTTAATGCTGGTTTAGTCCTGGTTTAGTTCTAATTTAGTCCTGGTTTGGTTCTGGTTAAGTCCTGTTTTAGTCCTGTTTTAGTCCTGTTTTAGTCCTGTTTTAGTCCTGTTTTAGTCCTGTTTTAGTCCTGTTTTAGTCCTGGTTTAGTCCTGGTTTAGTCCTGGTTTAGTCATGGTTTAGTCATGGTTTAGTCCTGGTTGGGTTCTGGTTAAGTCCTGTTTTAGTCCTGTTTTAGTCCTGTTTTAGTCTTGGTTCAATCCTGGTTTAGTTCTGTGTTAGTTCTGGTTTAGTCCTGGTTTAGTTCTGTTTTAGGTCTGGTTTATACCTGGTTTAGTCCTGGGTGACAGTCGTTTTGACTGTTTTTGTATAAATAAGCGAGGTACCTCAGCTTTAATGACCAAACTAACCCATCCATCTGCTGAACGAGCGAGTCCGGCCGAAGGAGCCGTCAGCGAAGAAGAAAACACTGTGTTTAAACAACATTTAACTGTGATGCGAGGCCACTATTAACATAATGTATTCGGTGATAATCCGGGAGCCGCCGGCAGAGAGAGCTTCTCCGGCGGCGGCGGCTCCACACTGGGTTTGTTGTCATCGAGAGTCCCGTGGCTTTGCATCCCAGCCAGCAGGGGGCGACGCGAGAACCCCCGGGCACTGCTGCGGGGGGGCTACTGCACACTTAAAATAATCATGAATTTTAATAGCACTACGCCTGCGGAGGCTAAAACAGGAGCTCTCTGTCTCTTTTTCTCTCTCACCAAAAAAACAGTGCGAGATTATTAATACATGACATGAAAATGCAAAAAAACTGGCCCCTAGAGGCAGCGGCGAACGGAGCATGGTTTATTAAAGGAAAGAGGAAGTGACGGGGAAGAACGACGAGGTTTGAGGATAACTTTGATAGCTTCAATGGTTTGTTAACGCCACCAGAGGAGCCAGCTCAGGAGCAGCTTGGTCTTACCGCACCATTGTACTAATTTCATCTTGTACTAAGGTCTGGGTTTGCTCCATTGACTCAGTTAACAGGTGGGAGGGGTTAACTCCTTTTGCAGATTGAAACCATTGGATCTGAGTTTACCGTGACGTCTGTAATGAGCCCGAGTGAGTGAGGCATTTAGCATTTAGCCTAGCTTTAGTCATCTCCTTTGCCACTAATGGAGCCCGTGGGGATAGTAGAAGTACAGTAGAAGTAGAAGTAATAGTTGTAGATACAGTAGTAGCAGTAGCATTAGCATCAGCAATTTTTTCACATGTGGTTCTACAGTAAATGGCAAATAAATTCTTGTATTAGCAGTTGCAATAGCAGCAGCAGCAGTAGTAATAGTAGTAGTAGTAGTAGTAGTAGTAGAAGTATTGACGTACTGCACAGAAGTGGAGATATGCAGTCTTCTGATGCCCGCTGTGGGGAACTGTCTGGAGTTGATGTAGGAGACTTTTCTCAGAGCGGTGTTCATGTGGTCGAGCTCCTCTCCCTCCATCACCAGGATGGACTGAGCCGGGTTAAAGTGGAACTGAAACACAAAAACACAAACACACCATTACACACTTTGATTCGTCATTCATCATATCGAGAAACTGTGAAAATACAGTAGTTTGGGGCGGCACAATATATTCAGTGGTGATAAACTACTACTGGGGCACACTGACAAAAGCGAGGCAACCAGTCTGTGCCATCGGCCCCTCCCACCACCACCAACCATTCACACACACAACAGACTCATTCTAATGTGGGGGAAGTGTCTTGCCTAAGGACACAACCACAGTTCAGCACTTTACAGCTTAGCTTCAGATGTCTGACAGGATCTGGCTTTAGCATACATAGTGGATTCCAATGGATCATCTTGGTTCTCTTGACACAATATATATAAATATACACTTAGTAACATCATTTTAAAGGTATAGAGGAGGATTTTCTACTTCCGGGTGGATCATCAACACTATTGGTCCTCCCAACTATCATTCTGGTGATATGGGCTCGTCCAAGAAGACCAGAAAGTTTTGTTTAAAGAGTGAAGAGGGCAGTTCTTTCCTAACAACTGTGAAAATCCTCGTCTATACCTTTAAAGTACCACATGCCTTTACTCTGGCTCCAGTCTGGGCCTAATATTCCAGCTTCTTCCCTCTCCACATTCTACACACTTCAAGAGAAAGTAGTCCCTGTATCGACTGTGAAAAAGTTGAAATGAGCTTTTTCTTGTGTGCACACGTGGCAGACCTCCCGCCGGTGAGCACGGTGTTTCCGCTCAGGGAGGATCCCTCTCCTGCTGCGACACAAGATTCAGGGATTTCAGAATTTTCTTTTAAAGAGGTTTTTTGAGGTTGTGTCTCCTATTTCCTAAAAGTGCCTCTCAACGACGGGACGGGTACTCGAGAGCTCCATGGGGTCTCACTCCCCCTTCACACCCCTCAATCTCAGACGCTTATCTCCTCTGGTCCCTGTTATTGAGCAGAAAGCGTTTGGCTCTAAACGATAGCATTGTCCACAAGTGACGGATGCAACAAAAGAAAGACATCTGAAAACTCAAAAGGATCGACTTTTACACGTCTGATGTGTTTAAATGAGAGGGGGAAAAAACGTGGAATTCTTGCAATACTTTTACAACAATTTTTCTCATTAAAATTGTTCCAGTTTTGAACTGTTTTATGGCCCTAATTTTTCATGATACTGAGATCTATGGATATTCTGTTGAATCAACCTATGTCCTAAAAGAATGGTACGACCCAACACCAGTAATGATACTTAGGTTTGATTAACCCCCTCTCGCTGAATTACATCACTATGACAGGAAAAATCTGATATTTGGGAAAAATTATCATATGGGTTAGTAATATATTATGCAGTTTTGGTTTCAAATGATTAGAGGTTGGTCATGATACTGGCTTCAAATTGATGCCTAGAAAATGTGAAAATACGTAATAATAATTGCGTTGCTTTTGTAAAAGTTCATATTGTGGTTCTTTCAGACGGCATTTTGGAAGTGAGACAGCGGCCCCTGGTGAGCAGGTGGAGAACTGTGTGTTGCTAAAGCTCCACTAAGTCCAGCAGTGGAACTTCTGAGTAAAATAGGGTCAAAAATATGGATCTGGGGTAATTAGTTGTACAAGAAGTGAAGCTGTTGCAAATCTGTAGGATTAAAACATGTTCAATGGCTCCTAATGTCTGCGAAACTCATGCACCAGCCGGAAAACAGTAAAAGTCCGTCTCCACATATTTCATTACTTGTCTCAGACTCTCAGACCTCCCAGAGAGACGAGCGCTAAAATCTTCTGATCTTTGTCAAAAACGTATTCATATCATCATAAATTTAGTATCACTGGCATAACTGTATGTATCTATATAGATCTATATATTTTAGGCAATGTGGGTGAAGTTTCTGGCCTTCAAAGCAACTCTCTGGCACTTTGCAGCCGCTACACTGTGGCACCTGGTGTTCCTAGAGGTCTCCCATCATAGTATTAACCAGGCACTGTCCTGCTTAGCTTCAGAGGTCTGACGGGATCTGGCTTGGACCTGAAGGTGACAAACAAAATCCTTGCTTTTTTCATGTATTTGAACTATAGAAAAGTAGCTCAGTTGGTAGAGCATTCACCTTTTAGCCTAAAGGTTGTGGGTTCAAGTCCCCCGCAAGACTTTCCCCACCGACTCCCACTGTTGTCTGCTGTCGTTGTTTCCTTGGGCAAGACACTTTACCCCACTTTGCCTATAAGGAGCGCCTAAGTAACCGCACGCTGATGCCTTGATATGATATTTATTGTATTACTATTTCTCCATTGTGAAATCAATAAAGTAAACCTTCTTTTCTTCTTCTTCTCCTTAATTACATTCACAAACTGGATTGTATTAGTTCTACCAATCAGCAAACAGGCTTGACACCACATGCTGAGAACCGCTGTACACAAAGCAACGAGGAGGAAGCAGAGCCCAATAATATAACAGGGGCTGGAAAAAGGAGCTACACAAAGCCATCTATCTTGTCTCGGGCGTCTCCGGCTCGGGGCGCAGATGGATTAGCCTCGCCGCTCGTTTTGGGGGAGGGAGGTTGTACTTTCGCAGGATCCCGGCGGTGAATTAGTTGTTGTGGACCAGAGAAATAGCATCTCGTGTCTGTGTGGGAATAAATGTGTGCGAAACAGAAAACACAAATACTATTCAAGGGTCACTGGCTGGGTATGGTATAATATACAGTAATGCAACTTTGGTTTTCTTGCGTGATAATAATAGCATTGCTTTTGTAAAAGTTCATGTTGTGGTTCTTTCAGACGGCTCAAAATGCATTATTGTTGTTGCGACTTGGAGCCTCAGACAGGAAACACAAAGAATGACAAATGAGCAATATTCAGGGGCTTTGTATCGGGAGATGTTGCAGTTTTTATGACAGCCTTTCCTCATCCTTATTGTTGTATCACCCACTTTGTTATGTGTAAACTTGCTGTAGTTCAAACTTTGCTTTCTCTCACTCTTCTGATTTAATCCTCTGTTTGTGGATGAGACAAAACTTCTCTTTTAGTCACATAAGGGTTTGAAGAATTAAGTATTTGGAAAAAAGGAAGTGGGGGCATGGACCATCAACGGAGATGAGGGGGCTTTCACCTTGGCTCACTGGGATTCACTTCTTAAGAGACCATCAAGGGGCGTGGTTAGTCTGAGGGGGGGGCGGTCAGTCGGAGGGGGCATGGTCAGTCCAGAAGGCCGTGGTCAGTCTGAAGGTGCGTGGTCAGTCTGAGGGGTGCGGTAAGTCTGCGGGGGCGTGGTCAGTATGAGGGGGCGTGGTCATTCTTAAGAGGCGTGGTAGTCTGACGTATCTGACACCTTGGCTCACACTTTGGATTCACTTCTTAAGAGAGCATCAAGGGGCGTGGTTAGTCTGATTGGGCGTGGTCATTCTGAGGGTGCGTGGTCAGTCTGAGGGCGCGTGGTCAGTCTGAGGGGGCGTGGTCAGTCTGATGGGGCCTGGTCAGTCTGAGGGGCAAGGTCAGTCCGAGGGGGCGAGGTCAGTCTCAATATAATATTTGACTTCATTGGATCAAGAACAAGTCACTATTTGTACGACTTCTCACAAATCTCCTGCTACTATTTGGCCGGCACGGTGGCTGAATGAATAGCACTCTCGCCTTTCTGAGTGGAATTTGCATTTTTTCCCTGTGTCTGTGTAGGTTTTCTCCTAAAAACATGTACAATCGGTCTGGCTTGATCACATACATTGGTTTAATGTTGACATCATCACAGCAGAAGTTTCATGGGTAAAGTTGCGCCATATTCCTAGATTCGGACTTCCGAGGTCAATAGTTCACGAAAGCTACTTTGTTAAAAAAAAAGTCACCGTGCTAAAATGATCATCTCTACGTTGATTGTTCAAATCCAATGCGCTGTTTTAATGCAGAGAAATCCATTGAATCCAGTTCACTGCAAGCGCCGAGAAAAGTGCTTAGGGAGCGTCAACAAATGGCAAGACCAGCTTTGTAAACAAACAATAGCTTTTACTGAAGCCATGTACACGCACTAAACTCTCAGACAATATAAATAATGACCATGTCTAACTGCTACAGGCTTTGATTTCAACATTTGTGAGTTCTTTTAATGAATACATATGTTTTTCTTTTTTTATTTGCTTTTACGGTAAATGGTCTTTACTGTAACATACATAAATAATGTATGTTACAGCATTTGTCTTTTTTATATTTTTTATTAGTAATAAGAATGCATTAAGACCTTGACCAGCCAAAGAGTTCCACCTATTTATTCAATTTCATTTTTGACTAAGGATTTGTTTTTTTTATATGTAGTCAATAAATTACATTCTAAAAACTGTGATAATGAAATTCCATGATTACTGTGTAGACTGAAATTAGGACTAAAAAGTGCTCAAGCCGATCCACCCAAATGGTGTCCCTTATTTTTTTGTTCTCAAGTTGGCAACCCTAAAAGTGACTACAGCAGTGTGGGATACTGCACTCTACTATACTCTACTCCCAGTGCAGGTACTGTATATAAGTGACTTCTTGTACAGTCTGACAGCGGTGGGGATGAAGGCCCAGTTCATAGTATCATTAATTGATTTTTACTCCCAGAACCATGAGATAGACTGGTACTTTCCAGCTCCATGTCTCGGCTTTTCCTTTTGTCTTGTCTACTGCTACAGCTACAACCAGGGAATATTAGATAATTCCTATGTTCCCTCTCTCTCTCCCTCCGGGGCTCGTTGTGGTCCTCACCTTGATGCTCTTGTCCAGGCTCTCCAGGCTGTGGATGTCCAGTCCCTCCTTACAGGCCTGCAGACACGAGATGACCTTCTGAGTCTCGATCTTTCCCGAGCGAATGGTGAGACCCGACAGGCTGCCGCGGAAATACTGACTGAACCGAGGCTTTGTGACCTCACCACCTGCAAGCAGACACACGCACACACACACACAAACACACACAGACACACGCACACACACACGAATATGAGAGAAAAGACCACACACAGGGAAAAGCTTTGAACAAAAAAATTCTATAGGTTTCTTTTCCCAAACCAGTCCGACCACTCTTAGCATTAGCATACATATAGCGTATATAGCAGGTCAACTATCAAAGAACCAAAGAACCAAAAAGTGAAACTATGTAATAAAATTCACCTCGCTTGTTCCTTGCTTTCAGAAAAGTTGTATCTCTAGTTTTCACGTACCCGGGGTCAATGACGTGACGGCCAAAATCACTGTCCAACTACATATATTTTTATTTAAAATATAAAGCAAAGTTGTATTTAATCAATATTTAAATATGCATATTCTGTGTATTTTAAAATTGGTCTCTTAAAAACCTTATCCCTCATTGACCCACATGCATTAGCGATTATAGAATCCATGTAGTTTGTACCAACAGAAAGACATTTACTGTAGTGAATTAATCTGCTCACATATTTTTAGAAACCTGTTTTATTTTGTATATGTAAGAAAGAGCTTGTGAGAGCTGAGTGAGGTCCTGTCTTTCCACTTCTCTGTCTGAAAAAAGCAGATCTAAAGATGTGACAGAGACATAAATACATGCATTTGGAAACTAGTTATACAACTATTATGAGGGAAAGGAACAAGAAAGATGGATTTTAATCAATTCAAGTGTTTTTATAGTAGCTTTTAAGATAAATGAAATAGTATAGAGTACAGGCTTCCACTGCAAAACATGATAAAATATGTAAATCAAGTGGTTTTCATCTTAATCAGAGCACATTATATTAATGTTGTAATTCTTTATCTTCTGCACTGTAAAACCTCCTGTGGACTAGTGATGAAAAATAGCACCTGTTATAACATTTACAGCAATACATCTGGTTTGTCCAATGTTATTCTTATGTCCATATTAAAGGAGCAGTCTGTAAAAATGTGGCCGAAAGTGGTACTGCAGCCTCTTCCACTCTCCCTGACTCAGGTTGCCAGATATGCAGACGAATCCAGCTGGGACCATAATAACTGAATAGACAAGAGTTTTGTCAACAACAAATCTATAACCAACACCTTTTTCACAAAGATCAAAATCCTGGTTTTATTCCTTGTTTTGTCGTTATTGATTTGAGAATCATAACAAGACCTTTTTTAGTTCTGCGCCACATGGTATTCTACCAGTGAGATTAGCTCCACGCGGTGAGCTCTGGTGCCCGGATCACAGACTTTTTTTATTGGTGAAACGGTGGAGGGCAGGACATAAAAATGAAAACAATAACAAGATTTAGGGGCTGGAAAAGTAATTTAGTAATTCAAATATCTCTGAACTATTGTTATCAGTTAAAGAGCAGTTTATTATGACAGATTAGGCCCTTTAATGATGATAGATTAGGGCCCTTTAATGATGACAGATTAGGGCCCTTTAATGAGGACAGATTGGGGCCCTTTAATGATCACAGATTATGGCTTTTTAATTATGCCAGATTAGGCTCCTTTAATGATGACAGATTAGGGCCCTTTAATGATGACAGATTGTGGCCCTTTAATGATGACAGATTAGGGCCCTTTAATGATGATAGAATAGGGCCCTTGAATGAGGACAGATTAGGGCCTTTTAATGATGACAGATTAGGCCCTTTAATTATGACAGAATAGGCCCCTTTAATTATGACATATTAGGGCCCTTTAATGATGACAGGACATGGAAATGTCGCTACTTTAAATAAAAAAAATAGAAAAATTTAAAAAACCTTCTAACCCTGATTGGAAGATCTTGTTTTGAGGCTCAGTCAAAATTCACTGAATTTAAGATGCATTTTGCCAAATTTGACCAAGTTTTTATTTATTTTTCATTACTTTTTGCAGTGTAACAGCTTTAAATGACCACATACATAATAATCCATGACATAGAATACTTCCCACAGTCCTCAGCCCTAATCCCTACGGTCTGGTCAGGGTCTGGTCAGGGTCGCCCGGGTCTGGTCAGGGTCTGGTCATGGTCTGGTCCGGGTCTGGTCATGGTCTGGTCAGGGTGTGGTCAGGGTCTGGTCAGGGTCTGGGCAGGATCTGGTCAGGGTCTGGGCAGGGTCTGGTCTGGATCTGGTCTGGTCAGGGTGTGGTCAGGGTCTGGTCAGGGTCTGGTCAGGGTCTGGTCAGGGTCTGGTCAGGGTCTGGGTCTGGTCAGGGTCTGGGCAGGATCTGGTCAGGGTCTGGTCAGGGCCTGGTCTGGGTCTGGTCCGGGTCTGGTCAGGGTATAGTCAGGGTCTGGACCCAGGAGCTTGGACCCGGTGGCGGCTGTAATTGGCCTGATAAGATCCATGTTATTGTCTGCAATGTGTGACTAAGCAGTTTCTGTGTCGGGCCAAACAAAAGATAAAGAGAGAGACGGGGATTGTGCTGCGTCTGAACTCACAGAAAGGCCACAGTCTCCAGTCGCTCATTAGCAAAAAGGTTAGAGCTCCGGGAATCAAACCTTCACCTTCTCTCTGCTTACTCGGCCCAACTCTGTCTCCCACAGACTGTATTCTGTTCTAAGGCTTTTGAAGGATCGAAGGCCAAGTTTTATCTTTCTCCACTGCTGTTTACAGAAGTGGGATTGGAACCATGGGAGGGTCTAAAACCATGGGAGGGTCTATAACCATGGGAGGATCTAAAACCATGGGAGGGTCTAAAACCATGGGAGGGTTTATAACCATGGGAGGATCTAAAACCATGGGAGGGTCTAAAACCATGGGAGGGTCTATAACCATGGGAGGATCTAAAACCATGGGAGGGTCTATAACCATGGGAGGGTCTAAAACCATGGGAGGGTCTAAAAACCATGGGAGGGTCTAAAACCATGGGAGGGTCTAAAACCATGGGAGGGTCTAAAAACCATGGGAGGGTCTAAAACCATGGGAGGGTCTAAAACCATGGGAGGGTCTAAAAACCATGGGAGGGTCTAAAACCATGGGAGGGTCTAAAACCATGGGAGGGTCTGAGGACATGACATTGACATTAATGGACTTTGGTCTCTATCCCTCGTGGACCAGTGGCACTGTGTGGTTTTATGATTGCATTTTCTATGTTTGAAAGGTTACATGAGAGAGACCAGAAAGAGACCAGAGAGATACCAGAGAGAGATCAGAGAGAGACCAGAGAAAGACCAGACAGAGACCAGAGAGAGACCCAGAGCTGGCGCTTCCTATACGCAGACTACGCAGTATGCGTAGGGCCCCGCAGCTGGAAGGGCCCCGGAGTGCGGACTCTTTTTTTTTTTTCATCGTTCTCACTCGTGCAGTTACGAGGCCCTTCTTATCCGGAATCACTCATTTGATTGGTTGTTAAAGTTGTCACTTGCTGTCTTCCATGATCCTCATACGTCCTTACGTCGCACTTCCAACCCTCCCCTCCCTCCACCCTGTTGTTGTCAGTCGCGCAGCCACGACATGGATCTATTACGAGCAGAGGCTAAGAGGCTGAAGCGGAGTGATGAAAAAAGGAAAAAAAGACAGCGAACTGCAGGAACAGTTGGGTAAAAAACGTGTGTTTACCGACCCGACGCATTGACTGTCTGCGGAGAAAGTTTAAGTATTTTGTTATTTGTAATTTAGACATAATATTCAGATTACCAAAGGAAGCGCGTTTATTTTGAAGGTGTCCACCTTAACCACAAAAAAGAGACTGATGAAGTTGTTTTGGGACTCGTTAAAAACAGAAATAAAACATGTCACACACAATATTCAACTTTCTCCGCAGACAGTCAATGCGTCGGGTTGGCAAACACACGTTTTTTACCCAACTGTTCCTGCAGTTCGCTGTCTTTTTTTCCTTTTTTCATCACTCCGCTTCAGCCTCTCAGCCTCTGCTCGTAATAGATCCATGCACTACTAGTGGTGATAATAATGAAACTAGTTATTATTTATATATAATATATATAATAAGATAAAATAATGTTTGGGCATTTGAATATAAAATAACATTTGAACTATTCCAGCACAATAAAATAAGATATAAGAGACTTTATTGATCTCACACAGGAGAAATGTACATGTCACATTTGACATGGATAGAATAACTCAAAAGTGTGCAACATGTTAAAATAAAAGTAGTGCGGTATTAAACTTACCAGCACAATACAGAGCATACAATGTGGAAAATGTACTCAAAATGTACATTGCAAGACCAATTATGCGGCTAGAGTCTGGAACCGTCTTCCTGAGAATGTGAGACAGGCGTCTACTCTGGCATCTTTTAAATCTAGGCTCAAAACAATTCTGTTTAGCTGCGCATATACAACTGAATGATTTTATCTTTTCATCTTTGTTTTTATCTTTAATCTTTTTAATGCACTGTGACTATTTATGATTTTAGTCCCATCTGTGATTTTAATGTTTAAAGGTTTTTAATTTTTGTGATTTTATTTTTAATGTTTTTAATATATCTTGTGCTCTTAATGTGTTTGATTTATGCATGATGTGATAGGGGATGTGAAGCGCTTTGCGTTGCCTTGTGTAGGAAAGGCGCTCTACAAATAAACGTTGATTGATTGATTGACAATGTACATTTTGAATACATTTTCCACATTGTATGTCCATGCCAAATGTGACATGTAATTTTCTCCTGTGTGAGATCAATTAAGTCTATCTTTTCATATCTTATTTTATTGTGTGGGAATAGTTCAAATGTTATTTTATCTTATTGTGTTGAATAATTTAATAAATAGTATAGATGTTAAACATGTTTTCTTCGGCTGTTGTCTTATATTGCTTGATTAGTGTGAATTATGTATTTGTTTAAGTGGAATGGAACTTCTGCTTGCTTTAATTTTTATGGTTTCTTGAATTATGTGTAGGGCCTCTATGCTGACTTCTGCTTAGGGCCCCAACAAGGCAAACACCAGCTCTGGAGAGACCAGAGAGAGACCAGAGAGAGACCAGAGAGACCAGAGAGACCAGAGAGAGACCAGAGAGAGACCAGAGAGAGACCAGAGAGAGACCAGAGAGAGACCAGAGAGATACCAGGGAGAGACCAGAAAGAAATCAGAGAAAGACAAGAGAGAGACCAGAGTCATGAGAGAGACCAGAGAAAGACCAGAGAGAGACCAGAGAGAGACCAGAGAGAGACCAGAGAGAGACCAGAGAGAGACCAGAGAGAGACCAGAGAGAGACCAGAGAGAGACCTGTCTTCTCATTGACTTTGTTCCCGGTTCACAGTAAAAAGCCACATTAGCAAACGTCTGCTTATTCAGAAGGTGACTGCAGCAGAACATTAAAGTCAGCCTAAAATGTAAGAACTGCTGAATCATTTGATTTTCTGAACTGGACACTTTTAAGAAGAAAAATACAGCGATAGTAAAAAACAGACTGAGCTGAGGGTTCTATTCCCTCAAATTATGTTGTTTATCGATGGGATGGGCGGTAATAAAAGAGAGACCAGAGAGAGACCAGAGAGAAACCAGAGGGAGACCAGTGAGAGAGACCAGAGAGAGTCAGAGAGAGACCAAAGAGAGACCAGAAAGACCAGAGACACCAGAGAGACTAAAGAGAGAGAGACCAAAATAAAACCAGAGAAAGACCAGAGAGACCAGAAAGAGACCAGAGAGAGACCAGAGAGAGACCAGAGAGAGACCAGAGAGAGACCAGAGACAGACCGGAGAGAGACTAGAGAGAGACCAGACTCAGAGACAAGACTCTTGAATATTATATATATTATTTTGCTCACTGTTCCATTGACAAAATATTTTTAAAGAGAGTTAATATATACTAAAATTAAGATACATTTTGTCATTTTTTAGCAATTTTTGACTCATTTTTCAAATTTTTTGCAGTGTACATGTGAGACTCTGACCAATAATAAGTCACTCACTTTCAGAGTTATAACTTTCTAAATTCAACGGCGGTAAAAACAGTCGATCCATGTGAAAAGTTTGTGAAATCAGTCTAAATAATGCATTTCTGCCTCAGGTTCCAAACTTTGTTCTAAAAAAGATGATTTCACTCGTTCCATAATTTAAACATTAGAAACACAACTTTTAGCTCACGCTGCAGTATTTCGGCTGCGGAGGCATTTACAGAATACAGCCATTGTTCGGAGCAGGAGAGAGACCGGGACGAGCTGCGGGAGAGAGACCGGGGCAAGCCGCGGAAATGGGATTCTGATTATTTGGGATCGGGGGTTTACAACTTTATATAATTATCTTTAAAAAGATGGTCACATGTGTCAAAACATTTCTGTTTGTGATGTGTGTGTGTGTGTGTGTGTGTGTGTGTGTGTGTGTGTGTGTGCGGGTATGTATGTTTGTATGTATGTGTGTATATATGTGTGTATGCGTGTATATGTGTGTATGTGTGTGTGTGTCTGTGTGTATGCATGTATATATATGTGTGTGTGTGTGCATGTGTGTATATGCGCGGGTAACAGGAGGCGCAGGAGGTGCGCCTCCTGTTCGGCGACCCCGCTCCCATCTCTGTGTGGAGTGAGAGGACAAGTGCCCATAAAATAACAATTGTAAACCGCTTTGTGACTCTGGTCTGTGAAAGGCGGTATATAAATAAAGCTTACTTACTTACTACTTACTTACTTACTTACTTACGTATGTATATTTTTGTGTGTATGTGTATATTTTTCTTATTATTATTGTTATATTACTAATATTTTTTATAAAAAACAAGATTTCTATTGTGTTTTGAGTTATTTATTTTACATTTGGGCACTACCAACAGACATTATGAGAGCAAGGGAAATGTAGGTTACTGTGTTTTAACCCTCTCCACATTAAAGGAATAGGCCACCGTTTTTACATACTGACATATGTTCTTACCTTACCTTAGACTAGTCGATATGTACCTGCATATCAACTAACGCAGCCTCTTCCACATACTGTATAGTTCCAAATCAGCTCCCGTTAGAATCTACCAAACTCTTCCGCGTGTTCCCTATTTAAATACAGTTATGTGACGTGTTGCACTACAAAGTATAGTAACACAGAAATGTAACACATAGCCATTTGACAAATGAATAGACAATTGAATTAAGGTGCCAATAGTCTTCCATAGGAAGTTTAGGGGTTAGTGCGCGGACGAAGTGCTCCTTGTGTTATTACACCTACAGAATGTGGAAGAGGCTGCGTTTGTGCTCCGTTTGCATGACAGAGTGCACGGACAAAGATCAACAAGTCTAAGGTAAGGTAAGAACATATGTCAGTATGTAAAAACGGTGGCCTATTCCTTTAAACCTGTTTTTGCAGTGGTTTCTGTCACTTTGATCTCAATTTGGAAAGAGAACATTTGTAATTCTATTTTCTTCCCACTAAAATACAAACTCGCTCAGACCTTGTTTTTCCCACTTCCTCTCGACCTCGTTTCAATCACACGTCACAGAAATCTCTATTTATTATTCTGGAAACCGCTCGATTTTTGGACAAATTAATAAAACAGGACGTAAAACAGAGTTAAAAAGTGATTTTTGGCCTTGATTTGGGCAAATTCAGATCCATCCGACTCCAGTTTACCTCAAATCAAAGACACACAAAAACATTCATCACATCTCAACCTTTTACCATCAATAAACAATCAATAAACTATCAATACATTTAACAATAAACTATCAATAAACTATCAATAAATGTATCAATAAACTGTCAATAAATTATCCATAAACAACCAAAAGCAAATCAGTTCCAAATGTTCTCGTGTAAGATCGGTCTCTGAAATGTCTGACTGGCATCAACCTCAGGCCCGGGGGCTAAATCCGGCCATGAGACTGTTTTTATAGGTCCCTGAATTTATTTTTAATTCTCATTATTAAAGTAACTCGGAGCATTGATGGTAAAGGGCCACAATGGTATGGTATACTTCACTCTTCTAAAGCTAATTTTATCAGGAAAACAAGCATTAAATTGATGTTGTTCTTAAAATAAATAAAAACATCAAACAACAAAATAAAATACAAAAATAATAACAATAAAACAAATAAAATAAATAAATAAATAAAAACAATGAAATAAATAAAAATAAAACAACAAAATAATTAAACCTTACTGAATAAAAAAAAATAGCGGCGGTACCTTGCCAGCAGGCGCCCACGGTGAGCTGCATGTCAATCTGCGGCGCGTGGATCGGCCAATCGTCTGTGACCAGGTAGGGCTCGAAGGAAACGCCGTCCACGTAGAGCGTCACCAACGGAAACGCCACGTTCAGGACGTAGTAATGCCACTCCTTATCACAGATCTGCAGCAGAGAGACCGGGATCAGCTCAGAGACCGGGATCAGCTCAGAACCTATAGACACGTTTAGATCAACACAGGCCTGACAGAGCCGATAGACACGTTTAAATACACATCATATGAAAAATATACTTTATTTTGCTTTTCAGCACATATATGTTACGATAACACATGTCATAACTGGTTAAAATACATGAAAAACAGCCAAACTAAACGCTAGGACCGGTCTAGGGTCAAGATGATTCCATAATTAAAAAAACACATCTATAAACTTTAGATAAAAACATAAAAAGTCAAAGTCTTAAAGACGTTGATGTTTTTGGCCTGATTTATTCATGGTTCAATTCGATGTATTTTTGTACAGCTCTAAATCACAGCAGTTTGTCTCAGGGGACTTTACAAAGTTGTCGATTCATCAACAACAGATCAGAGAATCAAGCGTAGAAAATACAATAATAAAAAACATAACTCCATCCATCCATTTTCTTCCCCTTAATCCATTTCTGGGTCGGCAGGGGGTGGCAGTCAGAGCTGCACCAAGTACACTTAGCACCAGCCCCTCACTGATCCTCCTGCAGGTGCTGAGTCCACAGGACTAACAACTGAAGACTAACTAAAGAATAATAATAATGCAGCGGTTTTATATAGTGCCTTTTTGGACGCTCAAAGTCTCTTCACATCTGTATTCTTTCTCTACAAACACGATGGTGATAAACTTCTACTGTAGCAACTGCTGCCCTGGTGCACACTGACAGAAGTGAGGCAACCAGTCTGTGCCATCGGCCCAGACTCTCTCTCAGGTCTTTGTCTGGTCTAGCTCTGGTCTCTCTTTGCTCTCTCTTTCTGCTCTCTCTCTGGTCTCTTTTTCTGCTCTCTCTCTGGTCTCTCTCTGGTCTCTGGTCTCTCTCTCTGGTCTCTCTCTGATCTCTGTCTGATCTCTCTATGTTCTCTCTCTGGTCTCTGGTCTCTCTCTGGTCTCTCTCTCAGGTCTCTCTCTTTGGTCTCTCTCTCTGATCGACTTTCAAGTTAGCTGTGTGTGTAACTTTTTGTGTAACTTTTTACCTAAATCCACAGACCGCTGCATTCTTCCCAGAGTGTAAACTCGCTAGCTTGCTAGCTTAGCACTATTTTTAAAGTTTGCTCTTGAAAACTCTCGGTCCTTCCCGTTCATTTTACCTCTTAATTCATCTCAGCTTTTCCCTTTTTCTCTCCCTGTCTCTCTTAATCCCGAATCTCCTTGTCTCCAGACCTCACACTCGCCAAGTCCCATTGTGCAAACCGTCTTTTCCCCGCCGCACACTTAGCCCGGCCTAACCCCGCTCTGTAATGAAGATTGCTAAGCTAGCTCCTATTAACAACAGCAGATGGGCGATAATCAACGCAGGCAGCTGGAGCTATAGCCGCCGTGATTTTGGAACATCTGCTTTGTACATATGTGCGGCGTCAGCCTGCTGAGTCAGAGCGGCAAACGCAGGCGTGTGATTGGACGGCAGGAGGCGTCACATGGTTCTGTCGTGTGAAACATCTTGTTCTCAGCATCTTTCCGTGACGATGGTGTCCTACTGTTATTTATATACTATTCAATCTCTCTCTGATTTCTTTCTGGTCTCTCTTTTGCTTCTCTCCCATGTCATTCACTCTGGTCTCTCTCTGGTCTTGCTCTTGTCTATCTCTGGTCTCTCTCTCTCTGGTCTCTCTCTCTGGTCTCTCTCTGGTCTCTCTCTGGTCTCTCTGGTCTCTCTCTGGTCTCTCTGGTCTCTCTCTCTCTCTCTGGTCTCTCTCTGGTCTCTCTCTCTCTCTCTGGTCTCTCTTAGCCTCCATGGTACATCTGTTGTATACATATGTGTGGAGTCATCCTGCTCAGTCAGAGCGGCAAACGCAGCGTGTGATTGGACGGCGGGGTGTCACATGGTTCTCCCGGTTTGCCGATGGTTGGAGTGAGAACAGGTGTCCTACTGTTAGTTACACATCTAAAGCTTGCACCACATATGGCTGATAACGATGTGATAATATGAATGAAAAAGTCCACTCCCTTCTGTAATCCCATTTACAAAGGCACTCATAAATGTACGGATTAAAAAAGTGTGTTATAACTGTATAATGCACGGCTCCAACTGGTTTCAACCGCTTATGGTCCCGGGAATGGTTTCTGTTTTACCCAAACAGAGGATATATCCCACAGACAGCAGGAGACAGCAGGAGTAACTAGCATGTTGCATTTTGAACCTTTAGCTTAAATAATGTCTTCAGCAGAATTTGTGACTGAGATTCGGAAGTGTGGGCGCATCCGTCTGCTTCATATCAACAACATCTGATCTCACCACAGACTTTGCAATGTGCACGTTTTGATGCGGCGTGTTTTTAACGAGGCGTGTTTTTGATGAGGCGTGTGGAACCGTTTGGGGCGAGAACTTAAAGGAGCAAAGGCAAAGTGAATGAATCTGTGAACAGGGCTGAGTAATGATGCAATCCACCTGCTGGAGCTGAGATAGAACAACCAGCTCAGAACAACCAGAATCCAGAGAGAAAGAGAGAGAGAAAGCGCAAGAGAGAGAGAGCGAGAGCGAGAGCGAGAGAGAGAGAGAGACAGACAGACTGGGAGTGACAGGGAGTGACAGAGAGAGAGAGAGAGAGAGCGAGAGAGAGAGAGAGAGAGAGAGTGACAGGGAGTGACAGAGAGAGAGAGAGAGAGAGCGAGAGAGAGAGTGACAGGGAGTGACAGAGAGAGAGAGAGACAGGGAGAGAGACAGGGAGAGAGAGACAGGGAGTGACAGAGAGAGACAGGGAGAGCGAGAGAGACAGGGAGAGCGAGAGAGACAGGGAGAGAGAGAGAGAGAGAGAGAGAGAGAGAGACAGGGAGAGACAGAGAGAGAGAGAGAGACAGAGAGAGAGACAGGGAGAGACAGAGAGAGAGAGAGCGAGAGAGAGAGAGAGAGAGAGAGTGACAGGGAGTGACAGAGAGAGAGAGAGAGAGACAGGGAGAGAGACAGGGAGAGAAAGACAGGGAGTGACAGGTGACAGAGAGAGAGAGAGAGAAACAGGGAGTGACAGAGAGAGAGAGAGAGAGAGAGGGAGTGACAGAGAGAGAGAGAGAGACAGAGAGAGAGACAGGGAGAGACAGAGAGAGAGAGAGAGCGAGAGCCAAAAAGAGAGAGACAGAGAGAAAAATAGTGAATGCGAAACAAACAGAGAGAGTCAGAGAAAAAGACAGGGAGAGAGAGAGAGAGAGAGACAGAAAGATAGAGACAGAGAGTCAGAGATAGAGACAGGGGGAGAGAGAGAGAGAGAGAGAGACAGAGAGAGAGACAGACAGAGAGAGAGACAGGGAGAGACAGACAGAGAGAGAGAGAGAGAGAGAGAGAGACAGGGAGAGACAGAGAAAGAGAGACAGAAAAAGACAGGGAGAGAGAGAGAGAGAGAGAGAGAGAGAGAGAGAGAGACAGGAAGAGACAGAGAGAGAGAGAGAGAGACAGGGAGAGACAGAGAAAGAGAGAGAGAGACAGGAAGAGACAGAGAGAGAGAGAGAGAGACAGGGAGAGACAGAGAGAGAGAGAGAGAGAGAGAGAGACAGGAAGAGAGAGAGAGAGAGAGAGAGAGCGAGAAAGAGAGAGAGAGACAGAGAGAGAGACAGGGAGAGACAGAGAGAGAGAGACAGGGAGAGACAGAGAGAGAGAGAGAGACAGGGAGAGACAGAGAGAGAGAGAGACAGGAAGAGAGAGAGAGACAGAGAGACAGAGAGAGAGAGAGACAGAGAGAGAGACAGGAAGAGACAGAGAGAGAGAGAGAGAGCGAGAAAGAGAGAGAGAGACAGAGAGAGAGACAGGGAGAGACAGAGACAGGGAGAGACAGAGAGAGAGAGACAGAGAAAGAGACAGGGAGAGACAGAGAGAGAGAGAGACAGAGAGAGAGAGAGAGAGAGACAGAGAAAGAGAGAGGGTTTAAAAAGCACCAAAGTCTCTCTCGTCTATACCGAGTGTAACATTTTTAACAGTAAATATAACTCACAAAACATCATTCACAGCAGTTTTGAACACAGTCTACACAGCAGAGAGTGAATAAAAATATATAACAACAATAATCTATTGGTTTTGTGAGTAAAACGATGCTTTGTGTATTGTACATGTTTAAAAATGGGATTTAGAATCAGATAAATCTGCTTTCCCAAACCCTGACACAATAGACAGCACCACACAATCTACTCTCTCTGGACTCAATTTTTCATTTAATCCCAGTTTGTAATTAATCCCAGTTTTTATTTAATCCCAGTGTTCATTTAATTCCAGTTTGTATTTAATCCCAGTATTTCAAACCAAACCCGAGTCCTTTTCCTTCTTTTCTTTGTCCACGTTCGCGGCTCACAGCTTGTGTTTGGAGGAAGAGAAGCAGCACATTCTGAAGCTGTGAATCTGAAATGGGCTGTGATTTCTTATTGACAATTATATTATTTTTTGTCCCGTCCAAATGTTCCTATTGACACAGAGCTGCTGACGAGAGGGTTTCTCCTGTTTAACGGACTAGCACAGGTGTCTGCAGTCACACATGGGAGGCTCCAGCTGGACTACATTCACACAGAAAACTCGTGTCTAGACTTGGAATGAGTCCGAAAGAAAACATTTTAGTGCATGATTAAATATTGAAGCTGAGAGAACTGTGTGGATGACGGTTTCTCTCTGGGTTTCAGTAATGTCCCATATAATAAAAATCGAATAAACTTTTGTCAATTTAACATTAAAGAGTTATGAAACTAACTCCATGAGCCGACATGGCTCCCAAACTTATGGTATTCCCCATTTTTGCAGTATGTATGGCCTGTATTTGACTATATTTTATACAGTAATGATGTATATGTTTTTTGAATGTGTTCTTATAGTAGGAGGTGGAGTTGGATCTGAGGGAGCAAACCTGTGTGTGTTAAATGTATAAATGTTCATTGTTTGTTTTGTACTGTATTATATGTATTGTGTTTGTTTGTTTTATGTTCATGGGACCCTCTCGAAAATGAGATGCTGCATCTCAAGGGGTTTTCCCTTAATAAATCTAATATATTTTTTTTAGCAGCAATGTGAAGGGCCCTAATATGTCATCGTTAAAGGGCCCTAATCTGTCATCATTAAAGGGCCCTAATATGTCATCATTAAAGGGCCCTAATCTGTCATCATTAAAGGGCTCTAATATGTCATCATTAAAGGGCCCTAATCTGTCATCATTAAAGGGCCCTTATCTGTCATCATTAAAGGTCCCTAATTTGTCATAATTAAAGGGGCCTAATCTGTCATCATTAAAGGGCCCTAATATGTCATCTTTAAAGGGTCTAAATCTGTCGTCATTAAAGGGCCCTAATCTGTCATAATTAAAGGGCCCTAATCTGCGTACGGTTGACACGGCTCTTTGCTGCTCTCTCTTTCTTTTGTTTTTACTTTTTAACTGTGCATCTGGCTGTTCCTACTCCCGTGAGGAACTTATGAACATCCGACCCACCGTTCCCATGAACCTATTGCCTGTTTTCTTGGCATCTGCGGCTGATTTAGTTCATGTTCTAGCCAAAAAAGTGTGGGCCCGTAAAAGGGGAAAGCGCGGAGGCCTGCTCGTGCGTCTTAGAAGGAGAGGAGCGCGCACGGCTCTCCCCAGCATTTTTCTCTCCAACGTACGCTCACTGGGCAATAAGATGGACGAACTCGGTCTGCTCATGAGAAGAAACAAGGACTTCGCCACATCCTGTGTCCTCTGCTTCACTGAGACCTGGCTAAATGAGCGGATCCTGGACTGCGCTCTGGAGCTGCAGGGCTTTGGGTTGTTCCGCGCGGATCGCCATTGTGCTCCTGCTCTGGAATATCTTTTCATTCATTGTAAACCATTTTACTCCCCTCGTGAATTTGTTTCATTCATTCTTGCCTCTGTTTACAAACCGCCATGCGCGGACGCGCGCGAGGCTCAGCGTGCACTCGCAGAGCAAGTACTGTGTATGGAGCGTTTATACCCGGACTCTCTGATTATTATCCTGGGGGATTTTAATAAGGGAAACTTGAGCCAGGAATTACCCAAATACAGACAATTTATCAAATGCCCGACCAGAGAGGAGAACAC